CCCGGGGGAACCCCGACACCCCCAAGGGGCACCTGAACCCCTCTATGGGGCACCCTGATCCTTTCATGGGGCACCCAAATCCCCCCCGTCCTGGCTTGCTGGGCAGCACCTGGGGGGGGCACAAAATGGGGAGGGGGCACCCTGAGACCCCCTCCCCCGGAGCACCTCGAGACCCCCAGGGGTATCTGAACTCCCCCAGGGGTACCTGAACCCCTCTATGGGGGCACCCAGAGCCCCCCGACCCCCTTATGGGGCACCCAAATGCCCCCAGCCCCGGCTCGCTGGGCAGCTGCAGCACCTGGGGGGCACGAAATGGGGAGGGGGCACCCTGAGACCCCCACCCTGGGCAGCTGAACCCACCCAGGGGGCACCCAGAGACCCCCGCATGGGGCACCCTGAGACCCCCACCCTGGGCAGCTGAACCCACCCAGGGGGCACCCAGAGACCCCCGCATGGGGCACCCTGAGACCCCCAAGGGGCACCTGAACCCCTCCATGGGGCACCTGATCCTTTCCAGGACCCTCCTAAAAACCTCTCCAAGCTCCCCCCATAACCCTCCCCAGCCCCCCGAGACCCCCCAAAACCCCCGGGACGCCCTCAGGACCCCCCCAGAACCCCTTGGGACCCCCACAAGGGCACCCAAATGCCCCCAGCCCCGGCTCGCTGGGCAGCTGCAGCACCTGGGGGGCACGAAATGGGGAGGGGGCACCCTGAGAGCCCCGCATGGGGCACCCTGAGACCCCCAGGGGTATCTGAACCCCCCCGGGCCACCCCAAGACCCCCAGGGGGCACCTGAACCCCTCTATGGGGCACCCTGATCCTTTCATGGGGCACCCAAATCCCCCCCGTCCTGGCTTGCTGGGCAGCACCCGGTACCTGCAGGGAGAAGGTGAGCTGCAGCTCGGTCTCGGGGGGGCCCCCGGGGGGCAGCGGGATCTCGTTGGAGCGCAGGATCCGCTTGGAGCCCTGCGGGGGCGGGACCCCCCCCCAAAATGGGACCGTGCGCCCCCCAGGGACCCCCAAACCCTCAAAAGTCCTTGGGGTCCCCTCCAGGACCCTTCCAGACCCCCTCACGACCCCCCAAGCCCATCCAGGACCCCTCCAGGAGCCCCCAGGATCCCCCCAAACTCCCCCTGACCCCCCCA